ATGTGAACTGCTGTATGAAAAGTGAATTTACTCTGTAAATCTTCACCCAAATCAAAATAAAATTAAAAAAAAGAAAAAAAAAAGATGTAATCCATACTGCAGACTGGATTCTTCAGTCTTCATCAGTAAGTGCTTCAAATCATCCTCATTTTCAGCAAGCCAAGTTGTGTCATCAGTGTATTGCAGGTTGTTAATGATTCTTCCTCCAATCTCGACGCCAGGTTCTTCTTCATATGGTCCAGTTTCCCTCAGATTTTTTGCTCAGCATATGGATTGAATACACATGGTGAAAGGTGAAAGGATACAACCCTGATGCACTCCCTTCTTCATTTCAAACCCATGTAGTGTCCCCTTGTTCTGTTCTAATGACAGCCTCCTGGTCTATGTACAAGTTCCTCATGAGTACAATTAAGTGTTCTGGAATTCTCCATTCTTCTTGATGTTATCCACAATTTGTTACAATCCACACAATCAAATGCTTTTGCATAGTCAATAAAACACAAATAAACATTTTTCTGGTATTCTTTGCTTTGAGCCAAGATCCATCTGACATCAGCAATGATATCCCTTGTTCCATGTCCTCTTCTGAATCCAGCTTGTATTTCTGGAAGTTTTCTGTCAATATACTGCTGCAAACATTTTTTAAGTATCTCCAGTAAGATTTTACTTGTGTGTAATATTAATGATATTGTTTGATAATTTCCACATTCTGTGGGATCACCTTTCTTTGGAATGGGTACAGATATGGATCTCTTCCAGTTAGTTGGCCAGGTGGCTGTCTTCCAAATCTCCTGGCAAAAGTGAGTGAGTGCCTCCAGTGGGGCATCTGCAATATGTTCTGCGAAATAGCATATTATGTGATTTGGACATTGTGTGAACATCATATTATATACACAGGAGAGAATATCATATTATATGGCTGTCTTCCAAATCTCCTGGCATAACCGAGTGAGGGCCTCCAGTGGGGTATCTGTGCTATGTTCTGTGAAATACAATATTATGTGATTTGGACACTGTGTGAACATCATATTATATACAGGAGAGAGGTGTGCAGGACTTTCATTAGTTAGCTGTTGCCATGCTGAGGAACTGCATAAAACTTTGGCACTGACACTGCTGGTCCTGTGTGGTAGCCACCAGGTCTCCGAGAGCTGTGCCCAGCCCTTGCTTACTTGCCGTGATGCACACTCACCATCTGGCTGCCTTTCCTGCTTCTCCTCCCACCACTGCTACAGCCTGCATAGCACCTGGACCCCTCAGTGGACAAGTGAAGTAGTGGCCTTGACAGGGCATTCAATCTGGTGGCTCCAGTGGCATCTGCATGGTCTCTGACTGAGGTGACTGCAGTGGGACAAGCAGCTGTGGATGGGTGCCAGGATCCCCTTCCCCTGCCACGCAGGGCTGGGACGCCAGACCTGGAGAGCTGGTGAGACAGACTGGATCTCTGGATTGCAGTACTTGGCAAAGTACAGCTGGTATATACCATTCTCCAATTGGTATTTCTGAACTCTATTAATAACCTTCTAAGAAGCTTTGGTGGTGCAGTGGTTAAAGCACACAACAGCCAACCAAAAGGTTCGTGGTTCAAACCCACCAACTACTCTGTGGGAGTAAGATGAGGCAGTGTCTTTCTGTAAAGATAATGGCCTTGGAAACCTTATGGGGCAGTTCTACTATGTCCTATAGGGTCACTAATTCAGAATTGACTCAATAGAGTGAGTTCAGTTTTTTTTTTTTTTTTTAAATTATAATCTTATGGGACTATGGACAATACATGGTTGGACACTGCCCAAACAGATGTTACATACACATATACCTGTACATGTAAAGATTATGACATCAGATATCCTAAACACATTCACTTACATACCAAGAAACTCTTATCTCTCAATAGGAACATTAAAGAAAATTTAAGACCGAAATAAGTACTTCATTTAGTCACTTGTGCTCATCTTATCATTAAAGATTCTGATCTATCATAAAACTAAACACATCAGTAAAACAAAGAAAACTTGACATAATGTTGATCACCAGGCTTAATCACAAGAAAACTGGCTTAGTCATATATTGTGAGTTGAAATAATGCAAAGCAAGGCATGAAAAGCTATGAAAACCAAAATATGGCCACAGAATTAGTTCAGTGCCTTGTATTCCAGTTACCTTTGTTTCACTTAAAAGCAACTCTTAAGTCTAAAATTTGAGAATCTATTTTAGGGTGATGTGTCATTGCTATGCACTGAACACTGGCTGTTGAAGAGCACTGCCCTACAGACTCAGGATGTCACCACTTCTCTTTTCTGCACATTCTAGACCTAGTGAGGCTGACATGTTGGAGACCTGTTGAAAATTTTGGGTTTAAATGGATTTGTAACCTTGTGGGACTTAAAGCGGAACAGGGAAATTGGTCTGTAATTCTTCAATGTAAGTTTCTAACAGGCAACAGAGATACACACTCAGGGTAATTTTTAAATTCTAATGAAAGCTTTTAAAAATACGTCAGTCTTGCCATCCACTTGGGAGGGATGTAGGAGATCCTGCATAAAGAGGGAGAACAATGTGGTACAAAACTCAAAATCATTTGGAGGCAAAAAAAAAAAGAAGGTGGGGACCAGGTTTGCTGGTCCAATGGAGCCTGGTGTAACCACTGAGACTATGGCCCCTAGCTGCCCTTCAGGTCTGGAATTGAACCCACACCTGTGGTTTCCAGCCAAACAAAGTACAGGCATGTGAGTTAAACATTTACCTCAAGTAGACACACGCCCTGGAGAGAACAATCATGGGAGAAGGAAGGGCTGCTTATGCACAGGGAGATAGCTCAGGGTGCAGAAGAGTATGAAGGGATGGACACTGGGAGGAGGTAACTATGGGGAGGAAGTGGGAGGGGAGCTGCTGCATTGTAAATTTTGGTCAATGACATGAGACAAAGTATATGTGAACTGCTGTATGAAAAGTGAATTTACTCTGTAAATCTTCACCCAAATCCTAATTAAAAAAAAAAAAAAAACAGGTCAGTCTTTTTAAGAGTTGAAGTGTTCAGGCACTTTCTTCAACATAATAGATGTGGCCAAATCTGTTCTCTCTGCCATCATCTAGAAACTGGTCGAAGGCATGGGCAAATGCCCTTTCTCAAAAGACTTTATAAAACTGATCACCTAAGGCAGAGGTGTTAGAGAACAAACAAACCTGTCCCAGAAGTGCAGCCAGAATGCTGCACAGAAGCGAGAATGGCCAGACTTCATCTCACCTACTTCGGTCATGTGGACAGAAGGGACCAGTCCCTAGAGAACTGTATCATGCCTGGTAAAGTGGAGGGTCAGCGAAAAGAGGGAAGACTCTCAATGAGATGGACTGACACAGTGGCTGTAACAAGGGGCTCAAGCATAGCAAGGACTGTGAGGATGATGCAGGACTAGGCGGTGTTTCGTTCTGTTGTACACAGGGTTGCGATGAGTCAGGGGCAACGTGACAGCACCCAACGACAGCAAAGGCAGAGCTCCTGGATGCATCACAAAGTTTGGCACCGTACCTCGTAAGCCTTGCTAATCTGAATGAACTTGTCTTCTGCTCCAGGATCTTTGTTTTTGTCAGGATGCCTGAAACAGAAACGGGCAAACATTAACAATAGATTTAATTTTTTTATACATCCTTGTACACAGTTTACTACATTGGAGGAAAACGAGAGGCTATTTTGTTAATACAGTTTCTTAAAACAAATGGTAAAAGCAACCAGTTTCCTCACATGATTATGATAAATGAAACCTGGAAACAGGCAATTTCTTTCCATAGCACTCAGGCTGGAGTACATGAAAATGTACACATAAATGTACACGTCTTTACATTGCTCCCGAACACTGAAAGCTGGCTCAAGGCTAAAGTCACTTATGCCTAACAATCAACATCTTTTCCTTGGTGGCAGCATTTCATCCCAATGTTAGAATAAGAATAACATTGATACAGGCATTTCTTCTGACAACATAGGAAGACACAGGAAACAACTTTTAGGATGCACCATGAATTTATTTAGTAACAGCTGTGTTCCAAATATTACCTTGCTGTTGACTTTCAAATTAGAATATTTTAATTTTTAGTATTACTACCCTGGTTATTCTACTCTACCTATGATTTGTCTTTTCACCCATAAATGGATAACATCAAGGCCACATTTCAAGTGTGAGAAAAGTCTACAGTTTATGCAAATTTACTTCAACTAATATTAGACAGAATTAAATCTTCAACATTTGCTATTATACACAGTTGGCAATTAACTGTATACATCTTGCTGTCATACATTATTTTGTAATCTTCTCAAGTTTATACCAATTTCAGCTTTGGGGATTTTTAAAGTCCTGGAAAGTAGGGTCAAGATTTTACTTTCTTGGGAGCCCCTAAGATAAATCAGTGTTTTATAGTGATCAACTTTTTTACATATTCATTTTTATCAAAAGACTCTGTCTTACAGTGCTTTATGTAATAATTTCTGCAAACTTCTAATGAATTTTCTCTAGCAAAGGTTCTGGAAAGACTTAACCCACTGGGAAGCAAATGACTACTAAACACAGCGTTAAATACATTGGAATTTAAAAAAAAACCCTACAACCTGACCAACTTATTCTAGCAGAAACATGCTGCATGAATTATACCACATATTCTGATTTCTCTAAAAATAAACTTCAAAATGTTGACTGTTGACTTTACACATCATTCCTCTCTTAACCTATCCCTTTACTTCTTGTTATGAATATTAGTGGAAAAGAAAAATCTCAGCTAGGCATAATGAAAACAGTATGACTGAAGGAAACGAGATGGAGGCCCCAAAGCATGTTTCTGGGTGACAAAAAAAATAGATAAAGAAAAAAAAGTGTTTTCAATATGCAAACTTAGGTTAAAGACTGAGAAGATAAAATTACGCAACCATCCAAACTAAGATGAACATAGGGAAGAACTCTGTAGGGGAAGAAGGGCAGGAAGGGGCTTTTAAGGAGAATGAACCAAAAGCAGTCTTGAGAGCAGCTGTGTTAGAAACCACAGATCCTGACACAGAGGAAGCCAAGGCCTAAGAGCAGGGAGGAAACCGCAAGACAGTTTTCAGCTTATATGGCTATTCCCCTAATTGCAGGAAGACACACAATAAAAAAACATTTAGAGAAGGAAATATTCAGCCCTAGGAAAGTACTGTCCAGTGCTTTTCTTTTGGTGCACAGGAAATCATTTCATGAACTGAGATAAATATCTTTTAAATTTCAAAGTGAGGAAAATACTGTGTGAGGTATCTATTGGCTATCTAGGAATCAACATGAAGGTAGAGAAAGTAATACAGTGAAGTATCAGACAAACCCAGTTACCATTTAGTTCTGCTTCAAATGTTAGGACGCTTTTTTCTTAGAGTGGGAATAGTTGTTTATTTTGCTATTGTGGATACCAAAAGGAAAGTGCTCACGATAAAATGCTAATTACTGGGACAGAAAACAATTTTCCTGAGAAAAAAGTGATTTCAAATGGTTTTACCAAGCAAGGAGAAAGTTCTTGAGAACACCACTAAGCAGCAAACATAGCAGAGGAAGGTCAGAGATCTAAGTCAACAGTTAACCATTTCTTCCTGCTACAGCTCATTCTGAAAACTCAAACTAGGAAACCTTGGAAGTTGTGTTGCTGTTATGTGTCGTCGAGTCGGACCCGACTTATAGCAACCCCTCCTTAGGTTTCGCTAGGAGTCGGGGCCGACTCGATGGCAAATAACAACAACAACATCATTGCGGAAGTAGATTGTCCAACCTTCCCTCCGAGGAGTGGCTGGTGGGTTTGAACCGCCAGCGTTCTGGTTAGCAGTCAAGTGCCTTAGGCACTGTGCTGACAGAGCTCCCTAGAAGTTGTGTAATCATTACCAAATGAAACAAATGAGTTCAGTGATAAACACGGCCATCGCCAAAACAACCAAAAATACTACTACAGTGGAAATACAAAGGTAAAGAAAAAATTAGACTTTCACTGGATGACACTCTATTTCTATGGTGATGAATGACTCTTACCAAGAACCTAATTATGGAAGAGAAGTATGTGACTCATTTAATTAATATCATAACATCCTTTTCAGCTCTGGAAGACAGAAAAGCCAAAGCTGGATATTTTAATAGGCCCTGCATAGTCAAGTTATCAGTTCTGCTCTTAAAATGTTATCGCAGGCTGTACTTTGTCTCAAAGAATGCCACTACCTTAAGAATTAACTGAAGATTTATATATTTTTGCTTTAAACATAAAGAGGTAAGAGTTTGAAATAATGCAGAAAGCAACTTTGGGGTAAAAAGAATGCCTGGAAAGAAGTCAAGCATAATTAGAGACTGTGTTTTTAGCATCCAATTCTGGATTCCTCCTGATAGCAGTATGGTCTAAAATAGTTACTCAAAATATATCTTGAATTACTTTCTACCTTCATTGCAACCCGTCTGACAACAGATATATCTTCTCACTGAAGAACAATGGTGCCAAGCAGAGTCATGCAGTCTGCAAAGTCATTTGCATGTGGCAGCTGTGCTTCTCCATAACTTCCTACTGTTTCATGCAGCTCCTTCCTATCCAAATATTAATCCACTCACCCTTACTTTTGCCCAGATGGGCAAGTGATTAAAAAGCAAACAACAACCCCCCACTCCCCAAATCAACTACATATTAAGGTCAAACTGTGAACCCAGAGGTGAAGAGAGACTTAACTCTGAGCCTTAATTTCTTCATCTATGAAACAGGGAAAACAATATCCTCCCTTATAGGGTAATTATAAGGTTAACATGAGACAAAAAGCATAGAACTTGGAGTTCAATGATTCAGTAGTTATGGTTAGTTCACTCAGCTTATAGTTTCATGTGTCCTTTACAACCCTTCCTCCCCCTCCTGTTCCCCTTTTAGCTATAACCCAGCACTTATTTCAGCTTCTTTGCCATAGCCAACGCATTGGTGGAAGAAAGCAATGACATATGCCCAAAATATGTTTCAGACTTACTGATATCCTTCATTCACAAACGCTTGTATAGTCTCTAGCACAAGCTCTATCTACAGGTTGTTGTTGTTGTGTTGTTATGTGCCATCAAGTCGGACCCGACTCATAGCGACCCCTCCTTGGGTTTCTGAGGCAGTATCACTACGGAAGTAGATTGCCCATCTTCCTTCCGAGGAGTGGCTGGTGGTTTGAACCACCAGTCTTCTGGTTAGCAGTCAAGTGCCTTAGCCACTATGGTACCAGAGCTCCCCTATCTACAGGTACATTTATGATTTTTCTGTAAGATATTTTTTTCAAGTAATGTACTCAGTTCTTGAATATTCTTTTTAAATTGGGGACAAAAAGTTCTTTAAAAATTGTTCAAAGCTTAAAAATTAACAACTTGGAGAATAGGAACGGGTAGTGTTCCCTTTAGTAATTGTATTCATTTAGAGCGACATCATGAGTAACATGCCTTGGAAAGGGCAGCTTATCTATTGTTGATTACATAGTGGGTTTTTTTTTTTTTTTTTTAAATTAAAGCTCCCATCCTACTTTATTACTAAAAATGCAAATAGTATCTCAGGCAATTCTTTAAGTCTAAGAATTCCTAAGAGGGACTTTCATAATAACATAGGGTTCTCATCACTCAAAATTATAGAGTAACATGAAAGTTAATTCTCCCACATTAAATATTTTAGACAGATATATGTACATGTATTTATTGAACACAGAGATAGAGACAAATAAAAACTAATCATAATTTAGGGTTTCATTCCCCCCGTAAAACTGCTTAGCTTATATCAAACTGCCATTTCTTTGTTTCACCTACCATTCCCGGGCGAGCTTCTTATAAGCCTTTTTAATGTCAGCCTGACTGGCTGTTCGGCTGACCCCTAGGACTCTGTATGGGTCAAAATCCAACGCAGACAGAATTTGCAGGATCAGAACCAGAACTATTAAGAATTGCCAGGAAATGCTCAATTTTTTCACTTCCATTTCTCTTCCTTTCCAGAGCTGAAATGATTGAAGAGGTAGTAAGTTTCAGTGGCAGATACCTGGACAGTCTTGTTTTTTAGATAGAGACATAAGATGTATCGATGAAACACAAAACAAACGAAAGGTATTTTGCAGGTGAAGTGTTAAGCTATTTGACCATCTCTCCTAAATCAATAATCTCTGCTGTTTTTGAATATCCCAAGTAAGAACTATTATAGATGAGAAGATGCGCAATTAAGAACTAACAGCAACTCTCCAGAGTCCTTGGATTAGAAAAGTTTTAGAAATGACTAAAAATGAATGATGAAGAAATAGAAAGTGAATGTGAGAAAGCACAAATAGAAAAATTAAGGTGACTGCATCTCAAATATACTATTTATTCTGACAATAACAGTTTAAACTTTAAGAATACTTCACTTGAACATGTGCTAAATAAACTCATGAAACCACAGGCTTTACCATTTGCTAAACTATAGAATGATAGCTGTGGCATTCTGGGGCATTAAGTAAGTACACATATGAAAATGAAATACTCTCAAAAAACTGTATGGTTAGACTCAGTATGCCTCAGTTCTATTCTTTCTCACCACACCCATCCAGAAAGGATAATTGGAGAAGCTACTCTTTAATTTAGTCATTAGCAATAAATGAAGACCTCAGATGAGAAATAACAACTGGTGAGAAAAACTTAGTTTTTCATGTAAAATAGGATTAATTAATGACAAAGACTGTGGAACAGGCACGATAGCAACATACTTTATGCTCCACTGAAGGTGAGTGTAGTGATGGAATTTGTTTCAGGTTTTGGAAATAATCCTGAATGGTTAATGAAGAAGTTAGTGGTGATACTGCTCAGACATTTACACTCCAGGACTATGATCTTTGTGGTATTATACAAATATTTTTTTCCTCCAAGGGCCATTATCTATTTTGATTTTTCATAAATTACTGGAGTTTCAAGGTTCAAGTCGCTAATGTGACACCTTACATTAAGAGGGACAAAGTTGCCTAGAAGTCCTTAAAAAATTGATTAATCTGAAGAACAATGTTTAGGACTGCATGCATGCTAAATGTAATCCTAAAACAAACCAGTTTCTTCTTAAGGCAACTCATTCTGCCCTAGTGTTTTTGGATCAGTATAGCGCTCTAAAAACCGGGAAAGATGTAGCTATTGGTTAAGCACATGGACGTTGGAATCGGCTTAGAGTTGGAATCCATCCTCAACCACTTTATGACCTTGAGCAAGTTACTTAAACTTGCTAAGCATCCGTGTACTTATTTATAAAATGGGGACAAATACTACTAACTTGAAGTGTAGTCATGGGGATTAAATATATGTAAAGGATTTACTGAGCACAGGGTTAACAGTAATTGATATTTAGCATTACTGCTTCTACCTAGTAGTACAATCACTGCCTTATCAACTCTGTCAGCCTCCTCCAATTAGAGGGGCCAAGGGGCGGGGATTGTGAAGTTCTTTTGAGGACAGTCTCCAGTTCTTCACTGGCGGCCTCAGGGCAGGAAACAACCTGCCACAGGTAGACTGCCCGCCCTCGGGGCAGCATCTTTAAACTAGACCGCAGTTCCCACTGACACGATCCGTGTCTGAGCCTCAACTTCAGCTCCTGCTGGGGGTCCCAACCTTCCAGGAGACGGCCCCCTCCCTCGCCGCCCCCCCGAGAGCTCTGAGCCCGGCCCAGTCCGCTCCCGGTTCCCCCAGGGCCCAGCCAAGAACGGGGACGAGAAGGAACTAACGGGAGATCCCTGAGCCTGCCCGGCTCGGCCTCATTCGCAGATCCGCGCGTCACGCCAGGAAGGAGTTACCGGGAAAGGGCACTGGCCTAACCGGCTGCAGCGTCCCTGCTCCAGTCAGTCCACCGGGCCGAGAGCCTGTTACACAGTCCACAACAGCTCTCGCTCCGGCCTGGGGAGGGGAAGGAGGCGGAGACTAGCCGGAGCGGAGTCACGTGATCCTTAAAGGCACAACGCAAAGAAAGGTGGACTGAGCAGGTCGAAGGCTTCTAGTTTGCGAATTTGTTTTGACCCTTGCCATCCGCCGTCTGCGCGTGGACTTGGCGCTGTTGCCATAGGGACGATGTGCGCTCTTTGGCAGGCTCCAAAGGGATCGTCGTGACCAAAGAGGCCAAAACGTGCCTCCTAGCGAGGCGCAGTCGCGATGCATGATGGGATGCCAGAAAGACCTCCCTGATCCAGGCAGGGCTTTCCACTTTTACCAGGAGGTGTCCCTCGTCTGGCAACAGTTACTAGGGTTGGGAAGCAATCTTTGGTCCCTGTTCTCTTTAACCCTATTCATAGAATCCCAGCGCGTCAGAGTTGGAAGAGACCTTAGGGATCTTTTCTAGCCCAACTCCTTCTTGTACTGATGGGGAGATGGACGCCCAGAGAAGGGTAGGGATGTGCCCAAGGTTACAGTGGAGGGGCTAGGCCTGGAATCCGGGACTTCTAATACCATTTACGAAAAAATGAGCTCCACCCTAGAATGTCTCAGGCCCTGCTATAAGTAGGAAAGCGTGTGTTTGTGTGGTGTGTCAGGGAAAGGGATACAGATGAATGAGGCAAACTTTCTTTGAGCCAATGAGAGGTCTCTAAAGGACATGAAGAAGGAAATTTC